CAGAAAAAGCAGTTTGCATTCGAACCATAGGTCAGGTGTTTATTAAGGACGAAGTTAAGTGGTTTTACACACTACTGTTAAAGCACAAGTTTATACTTTGGTTGCTTGGTTTTCTTCATTTTGAATTGTTGGTTATGGAATAGGCAATTCGTATCAGTGCTTAATAGACAGACATATCCGATAAGTTGTTTGCTGGCAAATTTGTTAGCAATGTGATGAAACTAGCCAAAATAACTGGTCAGGCAACAGCAAAATATCTTATAGATATTTTATTAATAAATCCTAAAACAATTAAGCACACTACAATTAACTCAATTTTCTTTCTTGTTACCGGTGAGGAAACTACGCAAAAAAAAATTATTTCCTCCAACGCACTGCTGGACAGCAGACATGGTATAGCTCGTTGCAGTACATCCCGTATTCACAAGGAGCCGTGCGTTTGTTACATGTTTTAAATCCACCTGCCGGTGACCAGTGATGAAGCTGTTCGTCACAGTGAGGCACTAAACGACCGTAGTGCATGTACGATGAGCTGCAAAGCAAAAGATTAATCATCACCTACCGACACATGCATTTCGTAAGGGGACGGTATTTCTCGGACATTGACAGGTTTTACCTAAATTTTTAGAACATTTTATCAAGCAGAACACACCAGCTTCACATACAAGAAGACGAAAAAATATAGATAGCAGGTACCCCTTAGCAACGAAGGAAATATCTTATCTTTCAGAAGTATTAATAATGAAAAAATTTCTGATAACTCCTCTAAGAGCAGATTTCACAGCATATTGCATCGCTTCCTTGTTCGTAGTTGCCGACGAGCATTTTAACAGGGTACGACTCCATGACACTTAAGCATCTGCAGTGCCAAAGGCATCTCACATCATTATGTCAGCTGTAGTAACCTCCTGCTCATCACGAACGACGTCTCACAAGCTGGCATTCCTCATATGCTACCGCATAAAAAAATTTTCATTCTTACGCGGTAGCATATAAACAGTGTCAGTTATTAAAACATCGTTCGAAATGAGCGAGAGGTGGCTCTAGCGGACAAAATGATGCGAAATGCATCTGGCACTGCAGACATTCAGATACTGCGGAGCCGTGCTTTCGCCTGCTTAA